AAAAAAAAAAAAAAAAAAAAAAAAAATCCTATTTTTATTTATTAAATCCCAAATGCAATTTTCCAAAATTGGACATTGCTTAACCCAATAATGATTGAATCTAACTACACCTACAAAATTAATACTTTCTCTTCAACGTACGGACACATTTATTATTTAATATTTAATTAAACAAAGGGAAAAAAAATTAATTTCACTAATCTTTAAATTAAGACGGGATCCAGTAACAGTAATTAATTTTTTTTTATTATTTTTTAAATGATAATGATGGAGTTTTGACCGTAATGAAAAAGATGAAGAATTTGGTCGTAGAAAAAAAAAAGGACTAAGGTTTAAATAAAAGTTTAAAGTAACATGGGTCCATGGAAATTTTAAAATTAAAAAAAGAAAAAGAAAAAGAGATTTAACCCTAGTTGAAGAACGGAAATAACAATGCTCGACTAGGGTTAAATAATATAACAATTATCGTAATTTTGTAAGCCTATGGTGGTCAAATTGTCTCAATTTTCTACTAAAGTTACATGTAATCAATGTCATTATTGGATGATGAAAGCTAATTTAGAGAATGATCATGGCTTATGCTCAAAGTGAAAAATATCATACCATTGTGAAGAGTCGTGTTGATCTAACCGTCATTATAAAGGGTTGAATCATACGCCGTTTGTGTCACCAGTGAAATTGGATGAAATTATCAATAATTAAAGAAAAAAAAAGATTCTCCCACATCCAACTTTTTTTTTTTTTTTTAAGTTAATAATTAAGGAAAGGAAAAATGTTCTGTCGGGGAGTTTAGATAAATTTAAGAACTAATTATTCCCACTATTGGTTGGATTATTTTAAGGATTGATGATTCCCCAACCCTTTTTCATCGCTAAAATAGGAAAGTTTTTTATTTTATTATTATTATAATTAATTGCATCGATATTGGGACTAACTCGATTAGTTGACCTAATCCGACCATTATTTCCACTTTTGGAAATTTAATTAAGAATAAAAGGTACAAAACTAGAGTATATTATATAACTCTTTTACTTTAATTAGCATTAATGAAACACTATTTTATATTATTTCGTACATAAATATAAATAAATATATATATATTCGCACATGGGTCAGCTGGAAATGTCATCCCACTTTAGATCTAAAATTATTTAATATCTTAATGTGAGATTTTACTTCGATTGGAGAAGAAAACGTTAAAAAAAAAAAAAAAAAAAAAACGAGTGCTAGCGAAGAAGCTAGTCTCGAAGGAAGTGGATTGTGAAATCCCACCTCGGTAGGATATAGATCTGAAAACGACCCTTTGTTTACAAAATTTCCAAAATTAGAAAGAAAAAATTAGGAAGGGGAAATAAAGTAAATGATTCGATGAATAATGGAATAAAGATGCCCCTATATAAGCTATAGCCTTTCCCTTGTCTCTTACAAACTATATATATATATATATATATATATATAAATAATTATTTGTAATTATATTTTGGATATGGAAATTACGAAAATGGGTATAAGGAAGTAAAAAACAAAAAAGAAAAGCATATGGGATATAATATAATGGATTCATGTGTGTGCTTGTGTGTAGACATAAAATAGACCCATCAATGTAAATAAATATTTATATAAAGAAATTAAATTATTATTATTTATAAAAAAAAAAAATGGAAGCATGAATTTACTCCATTTGAACAAAGGGGGCGCAGAAACACTTAAATTAAAAGGGACCCCATTTTTCAGTGCACGGACCTTTATTGGGAAATATGTCGTGTCCGTACAAACAGTACCCCCTCCCTTATTTATTTATTTTTATATTACCAAAATTAGACCAGGTTACATACTTATTTTCAAGTATTTATTTTCATACTCATTTTTACATTTGTTTTGTCCTTATTAATATATTTTCTAAAAAATTTATATTTCGTTATCTAAGTCAAGCACTCCCGAACATAATGTATCTTAGATTTGGTGATTTCTTGACTGTTTTATTCAGAATATATGTGAGTAAGAACAAAACATGCAAGTAGAAAAAAAAGATGTATATACAATATTTAAAATTATATTGGTAGCTAGCTAGGTGGAGAATTTATTTTTGTTAGATTTTATTGAGATATTTTAGGTTGAATCTAGATATTTTAGTGACCGGGTAAAGATTTGAATTTTTGAAGGCAACGGGTAAACATTGAGCTTGTCTATGTTGATATTATATGACTTAGTTTTTATAGTTTGTCAAGTGATCATGTGACTATCCATACCTAAGATTCGAACCATAATTTACCCTGGTTGACATATTTTTTTAAAAAAAATTCATAAGATTACTTCCAGCTAAACACACTTACATTAAAGTAATCTGACATTTTGAAAAATTATATAAGAAATGTGCGAGTAAAGAGAAGACATATTGGTCGGTAAGAATAATCTCCACTTTTAGAAGCAATTTAAGACAAGTATGTAAGATGATGATGCCGAAGGAAATGCATGAGAATAATTCTAACACGTGTAACGATGTTAAACACAGTTGCGAATGGTTTGTTCATGTAAGGAGGAGTTGAGGTTCATAATTATTGGAGTTGAAACCAAGAAGTTGTGTTGTGTGATGAGAAATGTTGTTAGCATAAGGCCAAAGAGGGTTACAATTTGAAGGCTCAATCCATTATGGAACATTTTCACGTGGAAGATGACAAATCAAAACCAAGAACATTATTGGAAGGAGATGACAAATGGCAAATTTTGGGAAAGATATTTGATGGAATGCGACAGCTTTGGAGCCGAGTTGCATTAACTGCAGCAGTAGCAGTAGCAGCAGCAGCAGGAGGATGGTCTCCAATAATTTACATATATAACACAAACCCTTCTTCAACCTTCCAATCTCTAATCTTACTTAGAAATATCCATTAACTTTTCATCGGAATAAACAGCATAAACCCCACACTGCAACAGAACTATATAATAAAGTGATTTAGAGGACATGAAAATGTGGATTTTTATTAACGACAACAAATTATTGGGAGTAGCTCCATAATCCATCCCCTGGAGAATTTGTGGGAGAGTCATCGGAAGAGAGCGACTTGATCCGTGGTGGACTCACCAGCATTCCCTCAGCCATGTCCACCAGTAAATTGGGCATGTTCAGTAGCTCTTCCTCGTCCACGAACTCCCGGGCGGCAGCGGCGGCGGCCGTAGCGTCAGAGGAAAACCCTGCCCCACCAACAGGGCGGGTATGTGCAGCAGGAGCAGGAGCAGGAGCAGTGTCGGGGTGTCTGGCAGCAGCGGCAAGAGCAGCAGCGGCGCGGATATCAGAAGGGGAAGTGGAGGAAGGAATGCGATAGGATAAGAGAGCGTCTGGGAAATTAAGAGAGGCATCAGGGCCTTTAAGGGCGAGGGCAGCTACGTCGTAGGCGGCTGCAGCCATGTCAGGAGTAGGGTAGGTGCCAAGCCAAATGCGAGTGGTCTGTCGAGGCTGGCGGATTTCAGAGACCCATTTGCCACTTCGGCTGCGGACTCCACGGAACTTGGGGTGGCGATTAGAAGAAGAAGAAGAAGAAGAAGAAGAAGATTGAGTATCGTCAGACATGAAAGAATCAGATTCAGAAGCAGATGCAATGAAATGGGGAAGAAACAGAGAAGAGTTTATAAAGGAAAAGGGGGAAGAGCTGTAAAAGCCGTGGGGAATTCGTGGACAACATTCCCAGAGCTTTGAGTGAGAAGCCACACGCATTTTTTTTTAACCTAAATCAAATAAACTTTCATGTTTTTTTGGTGATGATTAATTTGGGACATTCATGCTTCCCACTACCCATTTCATCTTTTAGTATTAAACCTTACCCATCATTGCCTTCATTTACTTCATTTCTTACCCTGCTTCTAATCTAATACTCCATTCAAACTTGTTATTGTTCTTCAATATCGTACCTTTGTTTATGTTGATAGCTTAAATTGTGAGTAAAAGTCTTGTCCAAACACGGGTTTGAAACCAAAATGGAGAATTTAATAAGAGAAGAAAGAGGAGAGAGGGATTTGACACTGCTTGCCTTTGAGTCCACAAAATATAAATCCAGGTCATTTCAGTGCCACTGCTGCACAAGTAGGGCACTGAATCAATATCAAAATGGTCATTTTCTTCATACTTTTCCTTTTTTCTTTTTTCGTTGGTCAAATCACCATGACCCCAACTGCCAAATCAATTTGTTATCCTAAAAAACTTACCCCAAACTCTATGGCCGTTAAAGCTCCCTTCTTTTTCTTATCTTCTTCATCCATGGAGTCTCTCAAATCCACGCCTATTCCCATTTTCAGGCCCTACCCATTTTCAATCGCGACCAAATCTGTGAAACCCATCAAGGTTTCCATTAGGCCGCCTCCATCGGACTTCGATTTCCGAGTTGAAATCTCTCGGGATTCCAGAGCCGCCATTGCTGAAGCTCACCCTGAGTTGCTTGATTTGGTTGACGATGGCACGTTGGTTTTGGTCGAGAAGAGGAGATTCGGCCCTGTCCCTGCTTGGAGAGCCGAATTTGTGGAGCCGGAAGCGATATGGTTGGTCGCAACTTCGCATATTTCGCCCAAATCGGTTAAGGATGTCGAGCGAGTGGTTCGAGCAGTGAAGCCCGATAATGTGGTCGTCGAGCTTTGCCGGAGCAGGCAAGTTTGATTTCCAATTTGGGGTTTTTTTTTTTGTCAGTAATTCAATATCCAAATCAAGCAAAGTAGTCTACATTGTTCTGAATTCATTCTTGTTCTGTATTTGCTTTCATTTACCAATTAAAAAGAATCAACATATCTGATGTGTTGAATTATTGCTTTGCTTTAAAAGAATGAACATCTTAAAACGATTCCAGACATTTGTTCCAGAGCTGGAATCATGTATACATTAGAAACTGGTGAGCCACACCAAAAACTAAAGTCCAACATGTTCTCCTTGAGTGGAGATGGTTTCTTGGGTGCTGTTGGTCGCAGCATAAACCTAGGTGAGGCTAACATTTTGTTTGTTTTTTTTGTTGGTTGTTGGCATATAAGCTGTCTAAAACTTGTCAATAATTCTTCAGGAGGCCAAACAGCTCTCGCTTTGCGCCTGCTTTTAGCTGCTTTTTCCTCCAAAATTTCTTCAGATGTCAACCGTCCTTTTGGCAGTGAGGTAACAGATCTTCAATTCACCAAGTAATGTTTAGACTAAGTTCATGAAACTCTCATCAATCATGCAGTTTCGGGCTGCTCGTAAAGCTTCTGAAGAAGTTGGTGCTCAAATAGTTCTAGGGGATCGACCAATTGAAATAACTGTATGTGCTTTTTTCCTGCAAGATTACACAATTTCTTGCTTTTCCTTTCCCTCTCAGTCACTTCAATTTGATTTGTTACACAATTTCTTGCTTTTCCTTTCCCTCTCAGTCACTTCAATTTGATTTGTTGATTGTGCAGCTAGAAAGGGCATGGAACGCTTTGACATGGAACCAGAAGTTGAGCTTAGTAAGCTCAGTTATCCGTGGAATAACTTCACAATCTAATGTTTCTCGGAGCAATGATGAGGTTCTTTCCCACCTGAAATCTTGTGAATTGTTTCTCAAAAAATTTAACTCGGCTTTAAACACGTCAATCATAAAGTATCTTGTTGATGATTGTTGGGAGGGAGTCCCACGTTGGCTAATTAGGGGTATGATCATGAGTTTCTAAGTAAACAACACTATCTCCACTAGATTGAGGCCTTTTGGGAACATGGATATAAAGCCATGAGAGCTTATACTCAAAGTTGACAATATCATACCACGGTAGAGAGCCGTGGTTCCAAACCTATCTCAGAAGTGATTCAGCCTTGGTTGCAAGATGTGAAGAAAATTTGTGTCCATAGCCATGCTTCCTAAGTTTTGAATAATAGGCCGGTTGAGATAGGAACTGGAGTCGGATGCAAAAGAAATGCATAGACTGGCTTACATACCATATCAGGAACATCCGACATAGATTTAAACATGTCTTTCTCAGGAGTTGAATCTAAGCTTTAAACATAGAGATCTGTATAATTAGACAATTCCTGTTACTATTTTCTTTTTTCTCATTTGCGATGATACATCGCTTCTTTTACTTAGGATCTTGTTTATTAATGTGAGATCTCACATCGATTGGAGAGAGGAACGAGTGTCAGCGAAGACGCTGGGACTCGAAGGGGGTGGATTGTGAGATCCCACATCGAATGGAGAGAGAAGTGAGTGTCAGCGAGGACGCTGGGTCCCGAAGGGGGTGGATCGTGAGATCCCACATCAGTTGGAGAGGGGAACGAAGCATTCTTTACAAGGGTGTTGAAACCTCTCCCCTCCCTAGCAAACGCGTTTTAAAAGCCTTGAGGAGAAACCCGAAAGGGAAAACCCAAAGATGACGATATCTGCTAGTTGTGTGCTTGAGCTGTTACAAATAGTATCAGAGCCAGACATTGGGCGATGTGCCAACGAGGACGCTGGTTCTCGAAGAGGGGTGAATTGTGAGATCCCACGTCGATTGGAGAGAGGAATGAAACATTCTTTATAAGAGTGTTGAAACTTCTCTCTAGAAACGCGTTTTAGAAACCTTGAGGGGAAACCCGAAAGGGAAAGTCCAAAGAAGACAATATTTGCTAGTGGTAAGCTTGGGTTGTTACAAATGGAATCAGAGCCGGACACCGAGCGGTGTGCCAACAAGGACGTTGAGCCTCGAAAGGGGGTGGACGCGGCGGTGTGCCAGTGAGGACGTTGGGCCTTGAAGGGGTTTGGATTATGAGATCCCACCTCGATTGGAGAGAGGAATGAAACATTGTTTATAAGAATGTTGAAACTTCTCCCTAGCAAATCGGTTTTAGAAACCTTGAGGGGAAACCCAAAAGGGAAAGTCCAAAGAGGACAATATCTATTAGTAGTGCGCTTGGGCTGTTATAAATGGCATCAGAGCCGGACACCGGGCGGTATGCTAACGAGGACGTTAAGCTCCGAAATGGGGTGGACACGATGGTGTGCTAGCGAGGACGCTGAGCCCCAAAGGGAGGTGAATTGTGAGATCCCACATCGATTGGAGAGGGAGAACGAAGAATTGTTTATAAGGGTGTTGAAACCTCTCCCTAGCAGACTCGTGGACGAATCATCATATCCTTCTTTTTCTTGAAGTTCGAATGTCGGTGCATGAATCACCATATCCTTCGTTTTGTGAATGTGCTTTTCAGGAAGCAGGTAGAGATGGGAGTTCCTTGCAGCTGTATGAGCAGCTCAGTTTTTCATATCCATCTCTTCTTCAACCTCTTATTCATGAACGAGACACTGTAAGTATAATCACATAATGCATTTACAGCTCTTACTTCTTACCTCTGTAAAGTTGTTAATAGCTGCATTTTCAGTACCTTGCATGGTCTCTAAAGCGAAGCAAGGCGGTGAACAAGAGTAAAAGGGTGGTGGGGGTGATTGGAAGAGGCCATATGAGCGGCGTCATCTATGCGATCATATCGGATCAAGGAGACTTGCGATTTCGAGACGTTGCAGGTAAGAGAGCTGGGGAAAGCTCCAATGGCTTTGTTAGCAGTCTGTTGCAGAGCTTGGTTAGAGACACTATCATTGGTGTTGTCTTCTGGGTTTTATATGAACAATTGAAACAACAACATTTAGTGCCTTAGCTGATCATCTTTCCAAACCATACCTCTGTAGAAAATCAATCCAAAAGTATACCATTCAAAACTTACATGTAAAGAGATGATTTGATCCTTATGTGTATTAGTCCATTTTTCAATAAATCATTTGAAAATTGATCTAAATCCACCCACTTGGGGCTAGCGTCTTCGTTGGCACACTGCTCGGTGTCTGACCCTAATACCACTTGTAACAACTCAGTCCCACCACTAGCAAATATTGTCCACTTTAGCCCATTACATATCACCATTCGCCTTACAGTTTCAAAACGCGTATATTAGGGAAAGGTTCCTAAACCCTTATAAAAAATGCTTCATTCTCTCTCCAACCTAAGAAATGCTTCGTTCTTCTCTCCAACCGAGGAGGGGTCTCACGATCCACCCCCCTTGAGGGCTCAACATCCTCTTTGGCACATTGCTCGGTATCTGACTCTGATACCATTTGTAACAGGCCAGTCCCATCACTAGCAGATATTGTCCACTTTAACCCGTTACATATCGCCGTCAGCCTCACAATTTTAAAATACGTCTGTTAGGAGAGGTTTCCACACTCTTATAAGAAATATTTCGTTCTCCTCTCCAACCGATGTAGAATCTCACACCATGTATTATAATATGCTTATTCCTTTTCAATACATTCTCAATACCACATCACAAGTGAACAAAACGTTAAGAATCTAAGATCTCTTATCAAGTTTAATCATTTCAATATATATTCGAAATGAGAAAGATTTGAATCAAAGATAAAATATTTGAAATCAAGTTGACAACTTTATTAGTAATTAGGTCATGGTTTGTTCTATACTTAGTTAAGAGAGTAATTAGATGCATGCATGTGGAAATGGTATTTATTTGGAACCTTAACGCACATTACATGGATTTAATTAAATGTGACCAAAGAATATAGAGCCCAAGATATGAATAAATGAAAGATCTCGAATCTTTTATAAATGGAACTCCAAGTGGGAGCCTCACATCTTTGGTAAGCAACATTAAATATAAACTTTAGCCTTAGATTCTTTTACATAACAAAAACATTCATCGATGAGTACAAACTTCATAGCATTCATTATCATCCTCTTCATGATTTGAAAGTTCTTGGTCGAGATTTGAAGGATGGGTGAAGTTTGTGAAGGAGTAAAGTTTGTGGATATTCATGTGTTGTTGGTGGACGATGATGCTACCTCTCTAGCCGTGGTGTCCGCCATGCTTAGAGTTTGCAAATACCAAGGTTGATATGAACAAAATGAATTTAGATTTTGTAGCTAAGATTTTGATATAACATGTTTTGTTATGTTTTCAGTTGTGACGCTCAAGAATCCAATGGAAGCACTTGATACTCTTAGGGCAAGAAAAGGGTTCTTTCATCTTCTTGTCACTGATCTTCACATGCCTCAATTGAGTGGCCTTCAATTACAGAAGCAAGTAATGCAGGAATTCAAGCTTCCCGTCATCAGTAAGTATATCTACGATCCTCCATAATAATATGATATTGTCCACTTTGAGCATAAGCTCTCGTGGCTTTGCTTTAGGCTTCTCCAAAGGCCTTATGTCAATGGAGATGTATGTTGAGGCGGGAATGATCATATATAGGTTTATAAGTAAGGAATACATCTTCATTGGATAAGGCCTTTTGGAGATGGCTTCTCAAAGCAAACCCATGAGAGGTTATGCTCAAAGTGGATAATATCATATCATTGTGGAGATCCGTGATTCCTAACATGGTATCAAAGTCACGCCCTTAACTTAGACATGTCAATAGAATCCTTAAATGTTGAACAAAGAAGTTGTGAGACTCGAAGATGTAGTTAAAAGTGACTCAAGTGTCGAACAAATGATGTATTTTATTCGAGGACTCCAGAGAAGGAGTCAAGCCTCGATTAAGTGGAGGTTGTAGGCTCTATAGTGTACTTTGTTCGAGGGGAGGATTGTTGAAGATTGTTGGGAGGGAGTCCCACATTGGCTAATTTAGAGAATGATCATGGGTTTATAAGTAAGGAATACATCTTCATTGGTACGAGACCTTTAGGAGAAGTCCAAAGCAAAGCCACGAGAGCTTATACTCAAAGCGGACAATAACATACCATTGTGGAAAGTTGTGATTCCTAACAAAACTCATGATCATTTCCTAAATTAGTCAAGGTAGAACTCCCACCCAACAATTTTCAACCAGAAATGCGTCCCATTTAAGAGGAAATTAACCCAAAGCTTCACTTTTTTTCAGTGATGTCAGCTGATGAAAAGCCTAGTGTGATATTGAAGAGTTTAGAGGAAGGTGTTGCATTTTACATGGTAAAGCCAATAAGCCTAAATGACGTCAAACATGTATGGCAATATGCTATTACACCCAAGAAGGTTTCACCTGATCAAACAAGAACCATTATCCCACATGAACTGTCCATCCAGATTCAGAAATCTTCGTTCAAGAACTCGAGTTCTTCGCCGTCTTGTTCGAGAAGGGAAATCAAATCTAAATCTGCAGAACCCAAGAACAAGAAGGCCAAGGAAAGTAAGGTTGCTAAGAATTCCATTGCCATAAGAAAGCCAAAGGTTATTTGGACAAATTCACTTCACAATCGCTTTCTTCAAGCTATTAAACTGATAGGGCTTGACAGTGAGTAGATCCTTCGGCCATCATTCTAATTTTAAGTTTTTTCTCATCAACTAATGATTTTGTTTAAGTTTATACTTTTTATTTTGTTCAGAGGCTGTCCCAAAGAAGATCCTCGAGTTCATGAATGTTCCTGGCTTGACTAGAGAAAATGTTGCCAGCCATTTACAGGTTTTTGTTTGAGCCTTTCTTATTTGGATTGGGTTGAATTGGTTCGAATTGTTTGAGTTATTAAATAATGGTTCGGCTCAATTCAAATTAAGTTTTGAAAATTTGATGAACCAATGTGATGTCCCATGTCGGTTGGGGAGGTGTGATGTCCCACATTGGTTGAGGAGGAGGACAAAACACCCTTTATAAGGGTATGGAAACCTTCCTCTAACAGACGCGTTTTAAAGTCTTGAGGGGAAAGCCGAAAGGGAAAGCCCAAATAGGACAATATCTATTAGCGGTGAATCTGGGTCGTTACAGGAGGAGAACAAAACACCCTTTATAAGGGTGTGGAAACCTCTTCTAGCATATGCTTAATGGGGAAGCTCGGATGGGAAACCTCAAAAACCTTGAGGGGAAGCCCGGAAGGGACAGCCCATCTGGGTCGTTACAGGAGGAGAACGAAACATCCTTTATAAGGGGTGGAAACCTCTCCTAGCATATGCTTAATGGGGAAGCCCGGATGGGAAACCTCAAAAACCTAGAGGGGAAGCTCGGAAGGGAAACCCCAAAGAGGACAGTATCTGGATGATCCTTTATAAGGGGTGGAAACCTCTCCTAGCATATGCTTAATGGGGAAGCCCGGATGGGAAACCTCAAAAACCTAGAGGGGAAGCTCGGAAGGGAAACCCCAAAGAGGACAGTATCTGGATGATCCTTTATAAGGGGTGGAAACCTCTCCTAGCATATGCTTAATGGGGAAGCCCGGATGGGAAACCTCAAAAACCTAGAGGGGAAGCTCGGAAGGGAAACCCCAAAGAGGACAGTATCTGGATGATCCTTTATAAGGGGTGGAAACCTCTCCTAGCATATGCTTAATGGGGAAGCCCGGATGGGAAACCTCAAAAACCTAGAGGGGAAGCTCGGAAGGGAAACCCCAAAGAGGACAGTATCTGGATGATCCTTTATAAGGGGTGGAAACCTCTCCTAGCATATGCTTAATGGGGAAGCCCGGATGGGAAACCTCAAAAACCTAGAGGGGAAGCTCGGAAGGGAAACCCCAAAGAGGACAGTATCTGGATGATCCTTTATAAGGGGTGGAAACCTCTCCTAGCATATGCTTAATGGGGAAGCCCGGATGGGAAACCTCAAAAACCTAGAGGGGAAGCTCGGAAGGGAAACCCCAAAGAGGACAGTATCTGGATGATCCTTTATAAGGGGTGGAAACCTCTCCTAGCATATGCTTAATGGGGAAGCCCGGATGGGAAACCTCAAAAACCTAGAGGGGAAGCTCGGAAGGGAAACCCCAAAGAGGACAGTATCTGGATGATCCTTTATAAGGGGTGGAAACCTCTCCTAGCATATGCTTAATGGGGAAGCCCGGATGGGAAACCTCAAAAACCTAGAGGGGAAGCTCGGAAGGGAAACCCCAAAGAGGACAGTATCTGGATGATCCTTTATAAGGGGTGGAAACCTCTCCTAGCATATGCTTAATGGGGAAGCCCGGATGGGAAACCTCAAAAACCTAGAGGGGAAGCTCGGAAGGGAAACCCCAAAGAGGACAGTATCTGGATGATCCTTTATAAGGGGTGGAAACCTCTCCTAGCATATGCTTAATGGGGAAGCCCGGATGGGAAACCTCAAAAACCTAGAGGGGAAGCTCGGAAGGGAAACCCCAAAGAGGACAGTATCTGGATGATCCTTTATAAGGGGTGGAAACCTCTCCTAGCATATGCTTAATGGGGAAGCCCGGATGGGAAACCTCAAAAACCTAGAGGGGAAGCTCGGAAGGGAAACCCCAAAGAGGACAGTATCTGGATGATCCTTTATAAGGGGTGGAAACCTCTCCTAGCATATGCTTAATGGGGAAGCCCGGATGGGAAACCTCAAAAACCTAGAGGGGAAGCTCGGAAGGGAAACCCCAAAGAGGACAGTATCTGGATGATCCTTTATAAGGGGTGGAAACCTCTCCTAGCATATGCTTAATGGGGAAGCCCGGATGGGAAACCTCAAAAACCTAGAGGGGAAGCTCGGAAGGGAAACCCCAAAGAGGACAGTATCTGGATGAGCACTTGTTCTGCTGTATAACTTTGAAAAACGCGTTTTAAAGCTTTCAGGGGAAGCCCACGGTGGGTCTGGGCCATTACACCCAACTCATAAAGTTTTTATAATATGTTAATAATCCAACTAATGTATTAAAATTGAATTGCTTTGTTTATGTATGGATTCAGAAGTACAGAATTTTCTTGAAAAGAGTGGCAGAAAAGGGTGCTCGTTCAATGAAGATATATTGTGATAATGTATTGCAAAGATCAAATTCTGCTGCACCTCATGTTCAATACCCATTATACAGATCAAAATTGCAAGCCCAACATCCAAATTTCCCTCAAAATCAACGATTAATGGCTCCTATAAACAACCAATGTCCTTCTTTGGGCTCCTTTAAACAACCAACCCCTCAAAACCCTAATCTTGAAGGAGCTTCCATGGAAAACCCTTTGGCCCATTTTTGGAATCAAAAGTACTCAACTCTTTTGACCATCAACAAACTTAACTTCCCTAATTTCAATGGGGATCAAAATTTCGTGTTGGTAAGAAATGAAAACCCTAAGTGTTCGAGCGATGGAACAGGAAGAACAACTGGAGAGGATCGAATGATTTGTTCGAGTCGAAATGGGGTATGCAATGTGCAAGCTTCTGATGATCTCAACAATGGGGGTTGTGCATCAATAGGGTCATATTTTGGGCAATTTGAAGGTAGAAATCAACTTTTACCAGTGGTTTCTAACATAAATGTG